GGGGAATCAAACAGTATTTGATCGTTTCATGAATCAGACATCATTGTACATATGGCATGTCAGATCGTCGACATCCATGATCACTTTGGATTCTTTGTAATTTGTACATATATGTGTGCGCGTTTGTATATGTATATAAGTTTAAATAAATTGAGTTCCAATCAGAAACTAATTATTAGGACCAAAACTGCATGCTTCAAACATCTTCATAAGATACAAGTTGTAGCATTGTATGCTAAACCAGATTTCGGTTGCTTCTCGTGTGTGTTATTGTACATACAAATGTCAGCTATACTTTTCTTGTTTAATGGAATAATGTTAGTCCATTCTCTCGTCCCTTGTAATCCATTCTCAGCATATCAAATTGATAAATGGATATTGATCTTTTGAAATTCGTTAAAAACGAGGTTTTACAGTTTTTAAGGTATATAAAGCTATTCCAATGTGTTCCAAGACACACACTTGACGCTGAAGGTATGGAGACTGATAACTTGAGATGCTGTGCAAAGAATGGGATCTATTTTTGGCTAAATTTTGAGTGTATTAAATAAATGACTAGGATGACAATTGACAGGGAAGGATCTACTTGGGATATATGCTGATTGGGTAAGGGGAGAGGGCATGTGTTGGTCACATGGCTTTGCCCCCCTGATGGCACGTGTCTGTCCCCTCGTTCTCATGATTTTAAAAATTAAACTGGATGTGGTTAATTTAATATATTTTTATATATTAAATAAGAAAAATTTCAATTAAGGACCACAGTATAGACTGAATTATTATGGGTCCAAAAAAATTTTAACAAATAAATTAAAAAAATTAATAATTAATAATTTTACATAACAAGTGAAAGGTATTTTGATTTTTTTACTGTTAAAATTTTTTTGACTTTTTTTTTTAGACTAAATTAAAATTTTAAATTTTTTTTGGATTCATAAGTAATTAAGTCTCTGCCATGGATTTTAATTGAAATTCTTCCTATTAAATATAACACTTGAGAGTTGAGATAGTATTTTATAAAAATATTATTTTACAAGATTAAATTTATAAAATAAGTTTAAATTATTTTTTCATTTTTCATTATTAAATATCATTTTATTATTGTATAGAAATTAGAGCAAGAAAAGGACCGGTTGTCTTCTCTTCAATTTAGCAAAAATGCCATTATTGGTCTTTAAAAATATAATTTAAAAAATTAAGAAATTTTTTCACAATTTAAAAGCAAAAAAGAAAATAACTATAAGATGTATTTTTTATATCATGTATATAATTATTACATTTTGATAATATATGTACATATTTCATGCATGTTTTCAACTAGTTTTCTCAAAGAACAATGCATTGATATGTGTATAAAATATAACTTAGAAACATTATTTAAAATTTTTGAAATAAAAGATCTGATCAATTCATGATCCATGGATGTTAACAATTTTCTGCAGTCTTGGCATGTTTGAACTGGTTTCCAGTTAGTTTTATTTACCACTGAGGCCAGACAAAACACTAGGCCGGTTTCCTGTCCAACCAACTGACCTCAATAATCAATATTATATTGTTGTTAACAAATAACATAAGAACAAGAACTATAATATTATTGTCATATGCATCGGCAATTCGTCATTTAATTTTCTCAAAGAAGTTAAAAAATTTGTTTTTTGTTTTTAAATGAGATAGCGCAAGGGTTGGACGTGTGGGGGGGCATGAATCACTGCTACACATGCACGTCGCTTTCACTGACCAATGCCAAATTATAATGGAACACTACCATTACCAGCACTATACTACTTCACCACCCCTGTTTAATTTATTTTTATTAATAATTTTGAATTCTAAAATTATTTTGAGTTGGTCAAATATTAAATTAAAAGAACCTTAGATTTTATAAGAACGACCGCATATAATATATTTACATAGAGATTGGAGATGCAGAAAATTTTATTATATAATTACATGAATATTGTTAAAAACAGTATTTGAGAACATATATAATGAAAATAAATAAAAACCAAATTTTATTATATATTCACCAATAGGTGTTGGTCACGGTGGAATAGATTATGGCAGCTTAAATATAAAATATTTAATTTGAATTCATGTAAATATATATATATATATATATAAATCTTTAAGGTTTCATTTAGTTATTAGAATGAAATTGATTGAAAAAATTAACAAAAAAATAAAATAAATTATTATTATTTTTATAATAAGTATGATAAAATTTATTAATATATATATATATGGATGAATGTAGAGGGCAAGCATCCCCCAATTTGATTGGTCCTTTAAAAAATTTTAGAAAATATTTTATTTTACTTGTAAAAATGTGAAAATTAGTGTTTGTCCCTAAATTTTAAATAGTTTTCATTCTTCCCCTCATATGTTCTTTTTCGGACTCATACCTAAATATATATTATAAATATGAGAATTATTACACATTTTAAAAATTTTATAAATTATAATTCTCAACCATATAAATTAAATTACCTCTCTTTTTTATGAATGTGGTTTACTATTTTTTTAAATCATTCAATTTTTATTTTTTTAATTCATTTTATTTCATTTATTTTTAATAATCAAACATAACCTAAATAAATTATTTTCAATTAAATTTGATATTGTTAAATTTTTGACAATGATATGTAAACAAAATTGAGATGAAGATTGCCTAAAATAGCGGAAGATCACGTTAGGCTGTACTGTAGTCTGGAGATGGGCGTTTCATGGACAAGGACCTGACTACTTTACAGTTCGGGGGTCAGGACTCGGCATGACTCATGACCCATCCCATTTCACACAGATTCAAGCCTCTTTCTCTAATTCCTGTTGTCTATACTCTTTTGCTAATTTTGTCTTTATTTAACCATCGCATTCATTCCCTCTACCCTACTTTCATTCTTCCAATTTAGTATTTATTCCTCACATTACCAACTTTCTTTTTTTAAACAATCAGTTTTAATATCTATAATACACACATTCACTTTGTCAAAGTATGGTTTGAATCTTAAAAGGACGCGTGGCCACTAGAATACATTGTTGTTATTGGTTTCTAAAGGACTGTTTGATTGCCAGGAAGGATGCAAATGGAATGAACTAATTAAATAAATATAACAAATAAACTAAATTACCCTCTATTTATAGTAAGAATAAGAAAGCCTAATAGTACATAAAATAAATGTGAGGATCATTACACTTTACATCAACAAACCTCATAAATCATGACTCATGATCTCCCAATTAAATTATCATTTTCCCTCACAAATATATAATTTATCCTTCATCCACACCTTGATTGTTATTCATTATATTTCCTTCCTTTTAAGCCACCAAGCGGCTAAATAGGAATTGCACCACAACATGCAATTTGTGCAGCGTTTTTTTTTTTTCCCTTAATCTAACGATTGTCATTTATATTTCAATACATGTACATATGCTGCTGAGGAGCTTGGGTGTAGACTTGGAAAGCATGAAGGATGGTGGTAATGATTGCTAGATTTTGGTGAAGATTTTGATACCTTTTATAGATTTTGTGTTTGAAGGATGCACGTGTGTGGGGCTTCAAGTTCTGAGAGCCTCTGTAAAGTGAAAAGGCAGTGTACATGGACAATGCCTCTCCTATTGTGACCAAACAGCACCCCTCATCGACAATATGTTCTTTCATGTTGCCATATATTCAATAATTCACATCTTATATATTGCCCTTAATCTCTTTGCTCTTTTTTCTTAATGGCATATCTCTTTAATTTCTTTCATCATCATGGTCTTCGTTACTTATCAAGTTATCTTCTAAACCCTAATTAAAACGACATCTCTCTTGAAATCATGTTCATCTCTTGATTGACACATAATTTATCTAAACTCGGACTAAATACACTTTTTCACTACTTTATATTTTCTCGATTAATTTATCTAATCTAAATACTCAAATGTCTGCGGATCTAACTTCTCTATGCCTCCCCCAATTCCAGTTCCCAAAAACAAAATTTAACTCTTGAAAAAAACTAATTTCTACCTCCATGCTCAAAACTCCTTCACTCACGATGAATAACAAATTTTGATATTTTTAATTATACATCATGCAAAAATTATAAGTCAACTCAGTCATGATTACTTACGCCCCTTTTAATTAGTTGAAGGAGTCAAAGAAAGAATAATAGGTTGCATAATTTTTAATGTCTATGACACAATATATATATATTTTTTTGGCCAAGGGTTACACAATATAAGATACTATAAATACAGAACAGGTGAACAATAATTATTATATTATATATATCTATACAACTTATTATATTTCTATTTTTAGTTTGTATTATAAATTTATATAACATAATTTCTAAGTAGAAGTACATAGAATAATGTTCAAGCGGACCAACTAGTTCCCATTCGACAATGCTACGTGTGTGGGCTGTGGCTGACAAATTATCTTTTTCCATGGATTCACCATATGATTGGAACAGCATTTAACTTTGTATCTTAAAAAAAAAAAAAGGCAGAGCATCTAACTTTTTTATCGTTTTGGTTAAGATTTTTTTTAAAACTTAATTCATGATTCGCCGCTTAATCTTTCATGACATCTGTCTGGGAAATAATTAAGAATTAACACGGTATCAGATATCATTAACTAAAAGATATAGGACGTCGAAGAGTGATAAATAGTGTAATTTTATATATTTATTAGACTTCATAAAATTTTTATATTTTTAATCATTTTTACACATTTCTGGTCAAAAAAATCATTTTTACAAATTTCATTATTTTAAAAGATAAATGCAATATTCGTAAGGAAAATAAATAATAAAGTATAGTCCTTAAAAATTTGAAAGATATTTATATCTTATACGGTAAAAAATTTATCTATTCCCCACAAATCGTTTGGCCCTCATCTGCAAACTGCATCTTTGCATTTGAGTTTCCTGAACTTGATCTGACCAATTTGCCCCTAACTCTCCCCTTTAAATTCGAACCTTCCTCTGCTTTTCTTACTCCCTCCATACTCCCCCCCCCCCTCTCTGTCGCACTTTGTGTTTCTATCTTTCCTTCATTCCTCTGCGGCCGCGCTTCTTCAAGCTCCTACCACAGTAGCTTTCTCTGATCTCAAATGGCAAAAGGCGGGAAGTTGATGAAGCTCAAGTCGGTGCTCAAGAAATGGAACTCATTCAGCAACAAACAGAGCCGCTCCAGCAGCATCAACGCCGTCGCCGCCGACGACGAATCCTCCTCTGTCTACAGGACGGACCACCATCCCGTCTACGTTGGCAAGTCCCGACGGCGATACCTCGTTAGCTCTGACGTCGTCGAGCACCCTCTCTTCCGAGAGCTAGTGGAGAGGTCCCGCGACTCCGACGACGACACCATCAACGTCTCATGCGAGGTCGTCCTTTTCGAACATTTGCTCTGGATGCTCGAGAACGCCGACCCGCAACCCGAATCTTTGGATGAGCTCGTCGAGTTCTACGATTGCTAGCTCAACAATGCTCATCAATCAAGCAGATAAATGCACACATACTCCCATATCCGTCCCTGTAATATTGACCAGTAACAATCAAAGTCATGTTTGATTTGAATGCTGGACATTTCTCGTTTTTCAAAGATTTGTCAATAGTTTTATTATTTCTCTTAGAAATGACATCATCGTTTTAGGACATTGGGCATTTGCATGAATGAATGAGAATAACTAGAAGGAGAAGAAGGAGAAGCAGAAGGATGAAGAATCTGTACTGGATTGTTGTACCGGAAATGGGTAGCGATTGGAAGGGATTGCACTTGTTCATCCGTATTTGTTTTGAAAGGGTTAACATCATACTGTTCGTCCCATGTGCCTATCGGATGAATGTTAAAATGGCAATAATACCGCAAGTAGCCTTGCAGTTAAAGCTTCAGTTTTCTTTTGGGGACTAGTTTACTCTGCCAGATTCTCAATGTGGGTCTCGCTCATTACACAAAAAAGTATTATGGGGATTACCCCAATTTCGTTCTGAACTGTCTCATTATATAGTACTTAGTATTAAACGAAAGCTGGCCCTTGAGGGGACTTTGTGTTAAATGATACAGCACATAGCCTCAGCTTATTGTATTGACTCAATACTTACATCACCTATAGTTATTGGCAATGGATGAAACAAGTAACATGGGCCAACCAGTAGGTGTAAATAATAGAAATGACATCTGGCTTTGTATTGTCAAGTAAATCAATCATTGAGGGTGGAATGAAGAGACAATTAACTCCAAAGTTCATGAATTGGAGAAAAGAATTTAAAAAAAGGCAAAAGCAAACATCTCAAGCTTTTCTGGTGGAGAGGCATTTACTACTAATAAACCAGAAACTTCAGAGGTTGGTGTGGTCAAGTAAGTAAAGTAACTTTGGTTGTTGGCCCTCCTGAATTTGCTATTGTTTTTCAGCCACATATGGTACTGAAAAATTCTTATATTTCAGTAATGTCTGGAAAACCCCAACCACAATTTAAGGGGGCCAAAAAGGAGGTGAGAAAAAAGAAACATATGTGTATATATATATATATATATATGAGGTAGGTGCAAAGAAGTCCACAAATGGGAGGCAGCAGTGCAGTCAACAGGTTTTAAGGGAAGAGAAACCAGAAGCAAAACTTCTGCATAATAAAGCAGAGATAAGCTCATTATAAAGCTATGTCTAAATTATTGCTGAAACGCTCCTCTAAAGGCAAAAGAAATGTATAGTTTATGATGCTAATGATGAGGTAGTTAACAGATTCTCTGGGCCAAACATATCCCACGCGCTCTGAATATTGAAGGTATAGCTTAACTAGACTTTAAAGTGGATGACAAGAAAGTTGGCCAGTACACGCATGAGTATCTCTCATTCTGTATTAAGGATACTATTGCGCGCTGCCAAGCTAGCTTCCATTTGCCAGCCCCATGATGAGTGCTTTCGTCCACACCACAACAATGGCGGCTTGATTTCTTCTCTTTTTATTTAGGTTTGGATCCGAGAATCCTGACTAGGATTAATAGACTGTATGCTGGAATTTTGACAAGGGGTTTGCAAATGATCGAAGAAACCGTAACATACATGCCTGTGTCTGATCTCTTGTCGTTTCTTCTGGTTTCTTACAATGTCACTTTTCTGATAAGGTGCATATTGAAATGTAGTCTGTTTGTTGATTTTTCTACTCAATGAATGGTTGGGTTTGAACATTAAAAAGGATGGTACAGCCTGCCAGCTGTGGCATCTTTTGTATCTTGGAATTTTTAGGAGTAACCACCCCCACCAGATACTCTTGGACGGCTTGCAGAAAGGGAAAGAAAAAGTAATATTAATGAAGAATATAGAAAAACAGAGAGAAGATTGCTTAATTATAAAACAAAGAGAGAACATAAGGGTTGGCGAAGAGGGGTTTTTTTTTTTTTTTTACTTGAACTGGGGAGGCAATTATTTAATAAATTGAAGACATGTATCCTAGGGTGGGGTCAACACTTTGAAATGAATAATTAGTTAGTTGCTAGGTTCACTTTTTCTTCTCTTAATTAATTTTGTCCGAGAAACAATTTTTTTATTTATTGAAGATTTAGCTTTTCCCAGGCTAATAGTTTGAGCTAAGTAGTACAGATAGTTATATAGAATAAGCAATTTTTTTCTTCAATGTTGAGATGATCATGTGTGGGTTTATTTGAACTCTGAAATCCAAATATGAAATCATGAAAGCAGTCCCTTCTTCGGTCGACTTAAAAAAAGGGGGAATGAAAAGGCTAAGGTTTATAAAAGAAGGGGATGAAAAGTTTGAGATGCAAATGCCATTTGATAATTAGCATTTGACTTTACGAGATAAACAACATAGTCTGAAGAATACATTGTTTTCCTTGCATATCATGGGGGCAATTAGTTTTCCTTTTGTTTTTTGACAGTAAATCATCAACATACTTCATGATCACTGGACACGATTGTGCAATTTATATATATAATGTCAAATTTATAGTAATGACATCGAAAACTATTTTTTTTTCAAATTCCACGAGAAAATATAATTAATTTTGTGACTTATAAATAATAAAAGAAATCAAGATTTCATGAGATGGAAACAGGGCTCATCGGCTGAGCAGGTAGCAGAAGTAAAATAACACAATGAAGAGCGCCAGAGGATAATTTTTCACGAGTAACGAGTGAAACATCAAGTGGGCTTAACATGGGTTGTTGAATCAGCCAGAAGTCTTCTCAGCCTTCGACTCGAGGGCTTAGCCTACTAGACCACGATGGCAGGTTTGCCTCTTTTATTCTTTTTTGCCATCACTTTGTCTTTTTTTAAATTTCAAATGTCATTTAAAATCTACATATGTATAAATGTGTGTGTATTTCTTTATTTGTTTTTGTTTTTTTTAAATTAATGATTTTTTTTAAATTTATTAAAACGTAAAAGAAAACTATGGCCAAATGGGTGTTTTTATTGGTAGGCTTATTGTCACGGATGATATCTCCGTGACCGTGTAAAGACCAATGTAATGAACGATCTGCTGGTTAGCCTCGCACAATATGGGTAAAGGGGGCGACATTGGCATTGGGGGTGTTCTGCCTCAGTCTTCGGGCTGAGTGCACAACTGGTCGGAGGCTAGTGCCGCCTCCCTGATGAGCCCATGGCAGGGCGAAACCAGTGTGATCCGTATGTGGCAAGGCTTGTCCTGAGGATTATGGGGTCCTCCAGGACGCCGCACGGGCGCCGTGTGCTGCGCCAGACTTTCAGCCCGTGATAGAGTGGTATTAGAGCAGGACGTACTTTACTGCCGTGTGCCTGTGGGGTCCCACGTTGGGACTGGTCGACCTCGGCACCGCTCCAGAAAGGCCTCCAAGCAGGTGGGTCCAAAAGTGGGGACTCGGGCGGGAAGGTTGGCCGTTGTCGACTCCACTCCTATTGGCTCGTGAGTGCGAGTGGGTTCGAAGAGTGCAGGACTCGGGTGGCCACTCAGCAGTAAGCTGATGTGTTTGTGGCAGTACTATACGTATGATCCTTGGGCGGAGTCATTCTCCCCTAACACGAGGGCGTGCTAGATTGGGTGTGAGAGAATGTCACGGATGATATCTCCGTGACCGTGTAAAGACCAATGTAATGAACGATCCGCTGGTTAGCCTCGTACAATATGGGTAAAGGGGGCGACATTGGTATTGGGGGTGTTCTGCCTCAGTCTTCGGGCTGAGTGCACAACTGGTCGGGGGCTAGTGCCGCCTTCCTGATGAGCCCATGGCAGGGCGAAACCAGTGTGATCCGTATGTGGTAAAGCTTGTCCTGAGGATTATGGGGTCCTCCAGGACGCCGCATGGGCGCAGTGTGCTACGCCAGACTCTCAACCCGTGACATTATGCTCTCCATCCAACCTCAACTGTCTCTTGCGGGAATAAGAAAAAGAAAGGTGTCCACTTTATGAGCATTATGCTCGACCTGAAATATTCCTTTGACTTGAATTTCAGCTTTCAATTTTAATGTGAGGCGGAAATTCATTGTTCGCGGTTTTTGCTTGGGTTCAGGCTGGGTGCAAAAATGAATAGCCCCATTTATCAAAACATATCTCAAAGATTTGACATATTTTGTTGGCAATGCGTTATGGATTAAACGAGCTTGACACGAGGCTTGAGAACAACAAAAGGGAAAAATGAGGTGAAAGAGAGAAATAAACTGAAGATGTGAATAGAGGGGGAAGAATCCAAAGGGGGAAGAGTCAGAAACTTTTGAAAGCAATATTAAAATGGAGCAGAGAGGGACAGACAGGAAAAGGGACGAAGGAGGAACTGACAAACAGCCAAAATCATGGCTATCTCTGAATAATAATAATCCTAATCAACCACACAGGAAATGTCCACATCATTTCATGATACCTCAAACTAGAGCCTAAAAAATGAATTGAACCTTTGAATTAGTTCGTTTCATTCAGAAAATTTAACAAGTTGGTTGAATAAATAACCTGTATTTTAAAATAAGTTGGGCTAGCTTAACCCATAAAATAAGCAGGCTAGCCTGCGGCCTAGCATATTTTTTAAAAATAATTTTTTTTATTTTTTAATCACATTATATCTTTTTATAAATATATAATAATGATAATATTTTTTAAATATATAATTTATGACTTCTAAATATGTTCTTTATATTTGAAATATTGTGTAAATCCTCTTTACAATATGCAAATAAAAATTTTGTTATAGTTTGTAAATTAATAATTTATTAGTTTTTATACAAATATTTTGAATATATATTATTTATTATTCTCATAAGATCTATTAATTAAAATCATAAATATGAATTCATTGAGAAAAATAATGTGGGTTTATATTTAAAATTTTTTTCTCAGTGAGAAAGATAATACACCTAGGCAAGATGATAAATAATAAAAATTTAACAAAATAAATTTTCTTGATTGAATTATATATTTTTTTATTCCTTTTCAAATTCTTTAATTGCTAATTTACTTTAAAATGTAAAATAAATATATATATATATATATATATTTATATTATATTATAGAAAATGGGTTGAGTTTTTTAGCCCGCTTTATTTGGTGAGTTGGCCCAACCCAACCCGCAAAAATATCAGTTCGAGTGAGCTAGCCTGTGAGTTGACCCATAACCTGTTTGTTCAGTGTTACCCTAAACCAACCCTGAATTGAAGTCAGGGTTAGTCTTATCCCTTACAGTGAGACGCACCTACGCACGCTTGTTTGTGTTGGTGGTTCGCCCTTGAGATCTAGCCTCATCCTATGCTCATGGGACATGACCATATGAGGAACATAATATTAGAGGAAACGCACACTAAGGAGAATGATGAAGGGGCATCGACAAGAGGCACAAGGTTCACATGTTTTCTTCTAGAAAACCAAGAGATTCAGCTTTAAAAAAAAACGTACCGGTGGTTTTCAAAATTACCTCAATAAAATGATGCATGGGTCGACATTTTGAAAAATTAAAACCTAGTTAGGTCACAAAATGAACTGGGACTGAGCCCAAAGGTGGAGAGTATTG